TTTTTCAGGAATTTGCCCATGTTTCTTTTAATCTATATACTAGATAGTCAGTATTTGGCTAAAGCCCTTCCTTCTTTAGAAACTGTGGCCTGTATTAATACCAGTAAATTAGAAATTCAACAACTTTTTATTCAAGTACAAAATTATATTCATGCTCGTTCTCTTCCTTGTTTTATTGGACATATTCGAGCACATACTGTTTTACCCGGTCCATTGTCTTTGGGAAATCATCTTGCTGATGTTTCCACAAAATTTATTGCCCTTTCTAAAATTGATTTAGCTCGTCAATCTCATCAACTCCATCACCAAAGTAGTCGTACTCTTAGATATCAATTTCAGATTCCTCGAGAAGCTGCCCGACAAATTGTTAAACAGTGCTCCACTTGCCCTCAATTTTCTTCTGTTCCACATTATGGTATTAATCCTCGAGGTTTGCTTCCTAATCAACTATGGCAAATGGATGTTACTCATGTAATGGAGTTTGGAAAACAAAGGTATGTACATGATGTTGTTGACACTTTTTCAGGATTTATTCTTGCTTCAGCTCAAACAGGAGAAGCTACTAAACATGTTATTGCTCACTGTATATATTGTTTCTCCATTTTAAGAGTACCTCAAAAAATAAAAACAGATAATGGTTCTGGATATGCTAGTAAGGCCTTCAAACTATTCTGCCAACAAATGCATATTGTGCATATTACAGGTATTCCCTATAATCCTCAAGGACAAGGAATAGTTGAACGTGCTCATGGCACATTAAAAGTGCAACTTCTAAAAATAATAAAGGGGGAATTATATTCCTCCTCACCCAGAAATTATTTAAATCATGCTATTTATATTCTAAATTTTTTGCAAATTGATAAGCATGGCCATTCAGCAGCAGAAAGATTCTGGCATCCACAAGGTTCTCCATATACCTTGGTAAAATGGAGAGATCCCTTAACTGGTCAGTGGTATGGACCTGACCCCATTTTAATATGCGCCCGAGGATATGTTTGTGTTTTTTCACAGGAACATGATGGAGCTCAATGGTTACCAGAGAGATCGGTTCATCATGTGGATCATCCTGACAAGTCTACGTCCAATATCATGGGACAGTAACCTTCACAATCATTACCTTTGTGTGGAGAAGAAGCAGAAATAGGCAGTACTACTATTTTATAGAAGAGGTGTTATGTTACTATACCTCAAGAAAGACCATTTAATGACACATCTCAAAAGTTTTTGGACTAGTCATTTGGACTTGAACTTGTCTGCAGGATTTTACTTTGGTGGAAAAATTCAGGGTTTTCTCAAACATTTGGAAACTTATTGCTGTATTGGGAGAAATATTTTTATGGTCAGATGTCAAAGTTACTAGCCTTAATCTCAATGTTTTTAACATAGAGACTTTTAATATGTGAAATACCATAAATACTGTTATCTCAAGTCAAAGAACAAAAGAAAAAGATAATGTCTAGTGTTAATCCTCCTTATATGTTATTGGTAAGATATAGAGATTGTTTGTGAAACTGATAATGAATATAACAACAGCTGTTTTAATTGTAAATTGAC